CCGCTACCTCACCTGGCTAGTTTTTTTGTATTTTTTAGTAGAGACGGGGTTTCACCATGTTAGCCAGGATGGTCTCCATCTCCTGACCTACGTGATCCGCCTGTCTCGGCCTCCCAAAGTGCTGGGATTACAGGCTTGAACCACCGCGCCCAGCCATAATTTTTATATTTTTAAGAGACGGGGTTTCACCATGTTGGCCAGGCTGGTCTCAAACTCCTGACCTCAGGCGATCTGCCCGACTTGGCCTCCCGAAGTGCTGCTTTTGCAGATAGGAGCTACTGTGCCCAGCCTAGTCTCACATTTTATAGGCTCCCAAACCACAGCAGAACATCTGGCTGCCTCTTCCCTCCACACCCATCGTGCCAGTGGGTGTGCTGGCTGTAGGTGGGGGTGGCTGTGCCCGGGTTCCTGGGAGCACCTGGTGATTCAGGGTTACCTACCTTCAACCACCTGATCCTGGGGCCTCTGCAGGTTTCCTGGCGTTGTCACAAAGGGAGGAAGCGCACCTGTGGCTGGCTGGTCACGTGGTCAGAGCCAAGGCAGGCAAGGCCCTCCCGTCTGGCTTCTTGAAGGCAGGCACAAGTCTGCAGGCTGCTCAGGTCCCCATCTTATCATCTGTTCTCAAGGGGACCTCCTCTAACACAATCACAGCATCCCTGGCCTTAGCCCCGCCCTGTCTTCCCGTAGTGTCCCTGTCCTCCTCCCCTCTCCCATCCCCCCCGCCCCGTGCAACTTCACAACTCAGCGGGGAGGCCTCCAAGTCCCCAGGGCTCACACACCTCCTGGGGTGCTATGGACTGACCTGGCTCCAAGGTGTAGAGTGTGCGGGAAACTCACCGTGGGAGGTGCTCCTGCCCTGCAGGAGCCAGAAGGCTGTGGGAGGGCCCTGACCCCAAGGCCTATGGAGCTCCCTAGGCTCCTCTGGCCACACCTCACCACACACCCTCTTCCTTCTCCAGCGGTTCCAGTTTGTGGAAATTCCAGGCAATCACTATGTCCACATGAGCGAACCCCAGCACGTGGCCAGTATCATCAGCTCCTTCTTACAGCACAAGCACGTGCTCACAGCCTAGCTGTAGCTCTGGGCCTGGAACTATGACGACCTCGTGCTGCCAGACTCAACACTGGGAATGTGAGTTCCTGAGCCCTGCAATAAGGCCAGGCCTGTGGGGAAAACAGATCAGACTGTTACTGTGTCTATGTAGAAAGAAGTAGACATAAGAGACTGCATCTTGTCTGTACTGAGAGAAATTCTTCTGCCTTGAGATGCTGTTAATCTGTAACCCTAGCCCCAACCCTGTGCTTGCAGAGACATGTGCTGTGTTGACTCAAGGTTTAATGGATTTAGGGCTATGCAGAATGTGCTTTGTTAAAAAAGAGCTTGAAGGCAGTATGCTTGTTAAAAGTCACCACCATTCTCTAATCTCAAGTACCCAGGGACACAATACACTCCGGAAGGCGGCAGGGACCTCTGCCTAGGAAAGCCAGGTACTGTCCAAGGTTTCTCCCCATGTGATAGCCTGAGCTATGGCCTCCTGGGAAGGGAAAGCCCTGCCCCTCTCTCAGTCCCACACCCCCGTAAAGCGTCTGTGCTGAGGAAGATTAGTGAAAGAGGAAGGCCTCTTTGCAGTTAAGAGGAAGGCAGCTGTCTCCTGCTCATCCCTGGGAATAGAATAGAATATCTCTGTGTAAAACCCAATTGTATGGTCCATTTACTGAGATAGGAGGAAACCACCTTACAGCTGGAGGTGAGAAATGCTGGTTGCAATACTGCTCTTTAATGCACGCCTATATGTTAGTATACGTGCACATCAAGGCACAGCACCTTTCCTTAACCTTATGACACAGAGACCTTTGTTAACACGTTTCTGTGCTGACGCTCCCCCCACTATTACCCTAGGGGCAATGGTAAAGATAATGATCAATAAATACTGAGGGAACTAAGAGAGCTGTGGGTCCTCGTATGCTGAGCCTGAGCACCGGTCCCCTGTGCCCACTTTTCTTTATACTTTGTCTCTCACTCTCTCGAGAAATGCCCACAGGTGTGGTAGGGACAGGCCTTACTGGTCTTGAAGCCCAGCCTAGGGTGTAGTCAGGGGAAGGAGTGAGACTCCAACTTCAACATCTGTGACCTCAAGGGGTAGACAGAGTCTGCGTTTGGGGGGCTGCTGTCTCCTGGCTAATAATCTCCAGCCAGCTGCAGGGAGGAAGGACTGGGGCCACCTAGCCTTTCCCTGCTGCCCAAGTGGGTGGAAAATAAAAGCTTCTCGCGTTCTCACTGCTTTCGAGGCTGTTTCGTTGCCAGCAAGGGCTTTTCCATTAAAGGAAAAGGGAAAACAGAGCGGATTCAGGCAGGGTCCTTGACGGGAGGGTGTGGAGGCAGAAGGGGCAAGTCCTCCTCTGGACACGCCCAGGTCCCCAGGACTGCTGAAGCCCAAGACCCGAGGGGTGGCCTGGCTCTTAGTCCTGGCCTGTGTGGACTCTCATGGGGCTATTGGATGTGGTGGCCTCAACCTGGGGCCCGTTTCCCAGAGCTCGGCCTCTCGGAGACAGATGCAGGCCCTGCCTCACCTGATGTTCCTCCAGGCCCCGCACCTCCAGCCATCCACTGCGGCTCTCGCGGCTCAGTAGGGTCGGAATTTGCGCTGGGCCCGCAGCAGCTCGATCCTCTGCTTGTCCTCCTCGAACTTCTTGCGCAGCTGCGCTAGATCTGGGGGCGAGAGGAGGCGCGGGGCAGGGTCAGACAGCACGCCCCCGGGCAGCCGGCTTGCTCATGCCCCACCCTTCCTCCCAGTTATTGTGGGGCGCAGGGGCATGTCTCCCCCACCAACCCAGCCCCCTTCCCAGCTCTGCTTTGGGGGCAGGGTCTGGATCCGGTAGGCCGAGTCCAAGGGCAAGGCCAAAGTGGGAGACGCTGGCACCCCGAGCCTGGAGATGAAGCCCTACAAACAAAGCAAAGGCATCCGCCCCCACCCCGACCCCCACGCAAGGGGGAAGGAAGGAGTCCTGACCGCTCGGCCTGAAGCAACCCTGAGACTCGGTAAAGGGACCCCACCCCTAGTGCTGGTGAATGCCGATGGCAACGCTGGTCACCGGGTGGCCCAGGTCAGTGACAGGCTGATGGCACAGAGGGGGAAGCTGAGGGTCTAGAGCGAGCACAAGTGGGAGCCAAGAGGGCCAGCGAGGCAGGGAAAGCACCCAGTGACTGGCCACCTGACACACCACACATATATACCCCAACACACACAACCCCCTCATCCCACATACCCAGCCACACCCCTAACCAAACACACATATTCTGTAGCATCCTCCCTGCACCCACAGTGGGTTCGGAGGCCCCCTCTGCACTCGAACTCCTTGCTGGCTGGAGGCTGACAAGCGCCAGCACTAAGTGCACAGGAGCCCAGAGGTGGGCACTGATGACCCAGGGTTCCCACCCACTGAGCAAATGCATCTGCCCCGGGGGGTGATGGGGGACCGCCACACCGGGTGCTGCCAGGCTGGGCCTCTTTCCAGAGCCTAGTGGGAGCCCTGTGCTTAGGGACGCCCTCCCTCTGTGACCACCAGGTTCAGCGCCCGCTGTCAGGAGCCCTGGCCAGAGGCCTCATCCATGGTTGGGGCCAAGGCCGAGGGGCCTGAGGATGGGCTGGGCGTGGCTTACGCTCCATCTTGCTCTCCCGGTGCTGCCAGGCATAGAAGTTGAGCAGCTCCTTTCGGGCGCGCTTCCTCTCCAGCACCCGTCTCTCCCTCTCCAGCACCCGCAGGCTGGCTGCTTCAATCTGGGGGAGCACAGGCTGCCGGCCCCGGCGGGTCACCATCACCTAACCCTCCTCGTCACAGACCCCGTCCTCCTCCTTGGCCTCAGCTTCTTCCTGCAGGGAAGGTGATTCTGTCATCCGACGGAATTCTGGGACCTCTTGCAGCCTCCAGCAACACACCCTCCACGCCCTCCATCCTAAGTCAGAACTGCCCTGAGCCCCGCCCCCCAGGGATGGGCTGCTCCCCTCCTCCCAGCATGGTGTTGGGGCTAAGGATGGCGGGGAGGGCACGGACCTGCCGGCGCTGCCTCCTTCTCCACTATAGACCATGTGGAGACTAGATGTGTCAC